CCCAAATCCCAAACACCCAAATCCAGCATCCCAAACACCCAAATCCCAACATTCCAAATGCCCCAATCCTGGCATCCCAAATCCCAAACACCCAAATCCCAGCTCCCAAGCACAAAATCCCCGCATCCCAAACACCCAAATCTGTCATCCCGAACACCCAAATCCAGCATTCCTGGCCTTGGCATTGTTGTTCCACGGAAATGCGGGAATCTGGGAAGGGATTTTGGAGCTGTCTGCCTGGAAATCCAGGCAGGCCCAATCCCGTTTTCAGGCTGATTTATCCCAGTTTTATCCGGCTTGGATGGGAGGGGGCAGGAAAAGAGGGATGGAACAAGTTGCTGGAGGTGGTTCTGGTGCCTTTGGAATTAAAAACCAGCTGGAATCGAGTGTAAAAGCAGGGAAGGAATAAACATTTTCCATGTTTTCTTGGGAGACAATGGCAGTGATTGAAGCTGGAAGCGGCCTTGGGATGTGCCGGGATCATCCCGGATCCCCAGCCCTGGGGTGCTTTGATCCCTCCTCAATCCACCCAGGAAATCCAGGGAAAACTGGGGCCTTTTTTGGGGGAATGAAATGGGGAGAAGCTCAGAATTCCCAGGAATTGTTTCGGTTGATATTCCGAATTTTTAACCTTATTTTTTTTCACCAGAAAGATGCAAATTAGAAGGAAATAAGTCCTTGGAGTGGTGGCTGCCCAAAAATTTGCAGTGCGGAATAAATTAATTATCTTAATCAATAAATAAATAAGTAAATTTCTCTTCATCATCTTAAAAAATAAATTAATTAATTAATCCTGATTTTCTTCCGAGGGAACAAACCCAAGAGAATTTGGAAATGAGGAGTGAGGGGGAGAGGGGAAAAAATACTTCTTGAAAGTAAAAATGCCCCCCCAAAAAAGGGAGTTTTGGGGCTGGTAACTCCATTTGTGGGTGTTTTTTAGGGCCTGGCTCGCTTTGGCCTGAGCAGGATTTACGATATCTGGAAGCTCAGCCAGCCTGCAGAGGTCAGGGAGAGAGGTGAGTGTTGGCCTGCCCCTTTCCAGCCTGCCTTTTCCATTTCCTCCTTAAATTCTCGGGGGGGAAAAATGGTTCGTTTTGGTTTTTTATATTCGCATCTGAGCACTATAATAATCTATTGATATATAATTAATTTTAATGTAAAAGTTATATATATTATATAGACAATGTGTATTTATTATTTATAATTATAATTAGAAATATTATTACTATATATTCCTATATATTAATTGCTATATTAAAATATTGTTATATATCAATATCATATGTATTGTTAATAATGCCACTAAACCAAATATATTATTGTTAAAATTTCATGAAAATAAAATAACATCAACTCTTATAAATAATATACTCTCTCTATTAAATTATATTTATTTTATAATAATATAATATTTTGATATATAATCTACACATCTATAATATAAGCATATTGTGATAATTGTAATAAGTACGTATTAGATTATGGTATAATATGGCATATAATGTATAATATAATAATGTCTTGTAATATAATTTATTCCTATATTGTAATACACTATATTAATAATATTATAAGAATTAAAACACTTACAATTAATTTTTTTATATACTATAATACAATACAAAGAAAATCCACTCTTGTCCACTTTCCCTGCAGCCCAGCTGGAGATCCAGGACCCCTTTATCCAGAGGTGGGCGGACACGCAGGGGTTCCAGGGGCTGAAGGAGTACGCGGCGCACGTGGACGACCGGGAGCTGCAGGTGAAGATCTCCATCGTGGACAAGTACCGGGAGCGCATCCCCGAGCTGGTGCGCAAGATCGAGGCGTCCCACGTGGGCCAGGAGTCCCTGGCAGGTAAATCAGGGATAAAGGGGCAAACCCAGGTCCCCTTTCAGTCCCGAATCCAACTGACCCTGGGGACAGCCACGGTTTGGGCTGAGCTGGTTTTTAGGGAGCAGGGAGGTTGGACAGGAGCTTCGGGGACTGGATCCCTCTGCTCTGGAGCCAGGCTGGGACAGCTGGGAATGTTCATCCTGGAGAAGGGAAGGGTCCAGGGAGACCTGAGAGCCCCTTGCAGGGTCTAAAGGGGCTCCAGGAGAGCTGGAGAGGGACTGGGGACAAGGGATGGAGGGACAGGACACAGGGAATGGCTTCCCACTGCCAGAGGGAAGGGACAGATGGGATATTGGGAAGGAATTGCTGGCTGGGAGGGTGGGGAGGGGCTGGACTGGATTTCCCAGAGAAGCTGTGGCTGCCCCTGGATCCCTGGGAGTGTCCCAGGCCAGGCTGGAGCACCCTGGGACAGTGGGAGGTGTCCCTGGGGTTGGGACTGGCTGGTCCTTCAGGTGCCTTCACCCCAAAGCATTCCATGGTTTTGGGATTCTGTGGATATTTCAGTTGTCCTGACTGAAATGTGGGGAGGGGACGAAGCAGTCGGGTAGGAAATCCCTCAAATAAGGAACATTCCCGTTTGGAAGCTGGGGCTGGGAAGTTCCTCCAGCCCTCAGGAGTCCCGGACAGAGGAGCCTCTGACACATCTGGGGAGAAATGAAATCAACGGCCAATGAAGCGAAATTCATGATGCCTGATGTTTTTTTCCTCCTTTCCTCCCTGTTCCCACGTGTGCTGGGCCCAGATTATCTCATAGGGACTGTCCACCAAGCCAAGGGCCTGGAGTTTGACACGGTGCTGGTTGCAGATGATTTTGTGAAGGTCCCGGTTGGGAGCGGCGCTTCCCAGAGGAGAACCAACCTGGCCATTGGTGAGGGAACAGCAACCTGAGGGGCCAGGCTGGGCTGGCAGCGGGAAACCGAAGTGTCCTGGGAAGAAAAGGGTCTGGAGAACTCCTGAGGGAGCTGGGGGGGCTCATCCTGGAGAAAAGGAGGCTCAAGGGGGACATTCTGGCTCTGCAAGTCCCTGCCAGGAGGGGGGAGCCGGGGGGGGTCGGGCTCTGCTCCCAGGGAACAGGGACAGGACAAGGGGAAACGGCCTCAAGCTGTGCCAGGGGAGGGGCAGGTTGGATATTGGGGGAATTCCTTCCTGGAAAGGGCAGTCAGGCCTTGGAACAGGATGGAGTGCCCACCCTGGAGGGATTCCCAATCCCTGTGGATGTGGCACTTGGGGACATGGTCAGGTGTGAAGATGACAGAGCTGGGGATGGTTGGAATCCGTGGTCTGAAAGGTCTTTTCCAGCCTTAAGGATTCTCTGATTCCATGGATATTCCTGCCACGGTAGCCGTGTAGCAGCAGAGAAAGAGCAGCTCCAGGCTTGGCAAAGCCACTGCCTGCCTTGGGGTCCTGTTTTTGGAGTTGCTGGGCTCTCTGCAGGGAGCAGAGGGAATGCAGGCACCGGGAATGTCCCCCCGTGCCCAGTCTGCGCTCCACAGGCAGGAAAACACGGAGCTGGGAGCAGCTCCTCCCGTGCAGCCCTTCCTGGGCCCTTGGCCAGCCTGGAGGAGGTGCTGGCAGGAGGGCACAGCTGTTCCTCCCTGCTCCCTCAATCCCTGGATCCCCTCTGCTCCCTGCCAGGCGCCGTCCCGGAGGACGAGTGGAACCTGCTCTACGTGGCCGTGACTCGGGCTAAGAAGTGTCTGCTGCTCTCCAAATCCCTGGAACACCTCCTGACCTTGGCTGGGGTGAGTGAAACCTTCCCGAGGCAGGAGAAGCCCTTCCTGTGTTCTCCCAGGATCCTGAGTTCCAGGTGGATTTGGGCTGCAATAGCTGAGGTCGCCTTTTTCCCGCGTTTTCTGCTCCGTGCTGGGATTCCAGCGGGAAAACACAAGATTGCAGCAGTTTTTTCCCCCACAGTTCTTGCATTTGGGTGATGTTTTTCCACAGATCCTGAGTCCTTCCCCCCAGATTCCCTGTTCCCTGTCTGTAGGGCTGCCAGCTCTTCCCTTATTTCCTTCCTCCTTTCCCACTGGCTTCTCCTTGACTTTTTTTTTTTTTTTACCACCGGGAATTGGGGATTTTGTTTCTCTTTGAAAGCCCCCCCTGTTGCAAGTCATTTCCAAGGAATTAAAAAAAACCAATGGAGCAGCCTCTTTCAGCACCTCAGCTGCCTCTGAGGGGTGTCATTCCCTTTGCTCCCTGTTTTTTAGGAGCGTTTCCTTCGGGTGGAGCTGATGAGTGAGGCTGCCAGGGACGGAGCATCCCACACCTGCTGCGTGTCAGGATGCCCAAACACGCTGGATCCCAGCTCCAGGCTGCTTGTCAGGAAGCTCCCGTTGACTCACGTACGTCTCTTCCTCGGGACTTTGGGATTGGGAGCCTCCAGTCCCTGCTCCGAGCCGGGATCTCACCCCACCGCTCCCTGTCCGTGGCACTTCCCAGGGTGGGTCCGGCCGTGTTCACCTCCCACAGACCCCTTTAGTTCCTGAACTTCTCATCTGAGACACTCTGTGGGCTGAGGTGGAGCCAGTTTGGGGGTTTGGTGGTGTCAGATCCCACACCTGAGCCCTGGAGCCTCTGCTGGGTCCGTGGAGCAATCCCTGTGGGATTGGCAGAGCACCCCTGGGCCCAGGACCAGCTGATTTTGGGGCCCTGGTTTGCCTTTGCTCCCACCCTCTGGCCCTGGGGGGAGCCTTGTCCAGAGGGTACCACGAAGGCCAAGCTCTGGAGTGACCACGTGGAAAATCTGGGAAGCTCCACGTGCAGGACAAGGGACAGCAGATGGCTCTGATCCATCCCCAGGGACACAGGTCTGGGCCGGGGGAGGTTAGGTGGGATACTGGGGAAAACTCCTGCAGGGAAAGGGTTGTGCAGTGGTGGATTCCCCATCCCCGCAGGGATTGAACAGCCCTGTGGATGTGGCACCTGGGGACACGGATTAGTGGTGGCCTTGGAAGTGCTGGGGAATGTTGGACCGGATCTTAAAGAGATCCTTCCGACCCAAACGGTTCCATGGGGCCATAAGGGGTTTCCATGCCTTGGGCACATCCCTGTTCCCTCCCCTGGCTGGGAGGGGCTCGTGGCCCAGGCTGGCAGCGGAGCTGGTGCTCCTGCAGCTCCCTGTTCCCTGACATTCCCGTCTGTCCGTCCCCAGAGCACCGGCAGCCGCGATCCCGGGGGATTCCTGTGCCAGCCTTGCAGCCGGCAGCGCTTCGGCCCCCTGGCTGCTCTCACATCCCTGCCAGCGCTCCAGCAGCGGCCCTGCCAGCCCTAGGGGAGCCCTGCCAGCCCTAGGGGAGCCCTGCCAGCTTCCCAAAGCCTGCTGGCACATCCCAGCTCGGGAACCAGCCGGATTCTGGAGCGGGAGTTGGATGGATGTTGGAACGGGATTCCAGCCCGGCTCCAGAGGAGGCTCTGGGAGAGCTTCCCTGCAGCCCTGCCTCGCCTTCCAGGGGCTGGGAAGCAGAATATTCCAAAGAACGTGCACTTTAAGGACTGGATCAGCATTCATTTCGGAGCATTATCCCTGTTGGCTCTGGCACAGCGACCAAACTTCCCTGGATATCTCCCCCTCCTCCCTGACGTCAGCCCTGGCTGAAATCCCTCGGATCCACTGGCGGAAGAGGAAAAGCCACCCTGGAAAGCTCCCAGAGGAACAGTCTATTTCTGGGAAATGGACTTTCCCTGGGCCAGCAATGGGAGGAAATCATTAATCCCTCCCAGGAAAGGAATTCCCCTCCCTTGAGCCAAGGGCTCTCCCAGCCTGTTCCCTTTTCCCAGCACCAAAGCACGGGAAGAACTGCTCTGGTTCGGCACAAACTGGAGGGAGCTTTTCATCCCAGAATTCAATTTATAACCAAACAAACAAACAAAAGAGCCTTAAAAACTTCCTTTTTTTCCTCTTCCCCAAGAAGTGCCTCGGCAGCTCTTGGAAATCCCGGCGGGATTTGCTCCGCTGGGCCGCAATTCCGGAGCCTGCGAGCCGGGGAAGAGCGGAACTGGAAGTGCTTTGGGAAGGGATCTGCCCTCGGATCCGGGTCTGGAGCTGGAGGAGGCTCGTGCATCCCGTTATTCCCACGGAAGGGCTGACTCCAGGAGCACATTCCCTGCTCTGCTCGCCCTGGGGGCGGGAATTCCCGCTTGGATTGGGATGTGACCGCAAAGCCGTCGGAGCAGGAACCTCCGGAGCTCCCTCCCAGCTGTTTTCCCACCGTCCCACGGCAGGGAGGCACTTCCACATCCCACGGGAGGACGAGGCACAGCAGCCAGGGAAGAACATGGAATCCCAGCTCTTGCTTCCCAACCCTTTTCCAGGCATGGGAATTGTGGTGCCTGCCGAGCCCGTGGTGCTGCAGGAGACGGATTTCCTCCCAATCCAATCCAATCCAACCCTTCCCGATCCTGACCGAGACCCCCAGTCAGTCAATCAATCGACTGCTCGGTGTAATTTTATATAAAATATAGATATTTATACATAAAAAAGGCACCAGAGCTGCCTGTCCTGAAATCAAGGAAAACAACTGGATGAAGGAAAACCACTCCAAGGGAAATATTCCCTTAAACCGTGTCCTGGAAATATTTTTCTTGGAATATTCCCAAAGCTTGGTCTTTGAGAAGTGCCTGTAGTGAATTTGCTCCAGGTTGGGATCCCTGGGAGCAGCCAGAGCCAGGGGGGCATCAGGAATCTGGAGCCTGGATTGGTGCTGGAAGTGCTTCCAAAGGATCCCGGAGCTACATCCGAGGGTGGAACCCTCGGCTGGAAAAGAGCAGGACAGGGGTGAGGATGAGTGGAGGGACCTTTGGATGGGTCCCTCTCCCCCTGATTCCTGGGATCTGGGGGAATTCAGGGGCAGAGCCGCTCCAGGAATGGGGTTGGTGTCCAGTTGGGCAACTCTGGATGTGCTGCGGGACAGGGAATGGGCACTGCCTGGAGCAGGGGAGCTCAGCTGCATCCCAAATCCATCCCAAATTCATCCCAAATCCAGCTTCCGAAACACCCACAGCCCTGCATCCCAAACACCCAAATCCAGCATCCCAAACACCCAAATCCAGCACCCCAAACACCCACAGCCCTGCATCCCAAACACCCAAATCCAGCACCTCAAACACCCAAATCCCCAACACCCAAATCCCAACATCCCAAACACCCAAATCCAGCATCCCAAACACCCAAATCCAGCACCTCAGACACCCAAATCCAGCATCCCAAACACCCAAATCCAGCACCTCAGACACCCAAATCCAGCACCCCAAACACCCACAGCCCTGCATCCCAAACACCCAAATCCCCAACACCCAAACACCCAAATCCAGCACCTCAAACACCCAAATCCCCAACACCCAAATCCCAGCATTCCAAACACCCCAGTCCTGGCACTCCCGACACCCAAATCCAGCATCCCTCGCCCTCCCCTGGGACACAGCCCCCCCCATCCCTCTCCCTGCCCCCCCAGCACCCCCAGAGCCAATTCCTCCAGACCCCTGATCCCAGGATCCCCCTGACCTGTGGGACCTGGAGCCGTGTGATCCATGGGAATCAGGATTCCATGGGATTCAGGATTCCACGCTTCCGGCTGGGATGAGCAGCCCCCCGTCCCTCGGGATGAGGCTGCTCCACGTGGAGCCCGTGGCAGGGCTCAGGGAATCATCCGCCCTTCCCTGCGATCCTGGAGCGTCCCTGGGGCTCGGCCGTGCCGAGTTTTTCCCGGCTGCGGGCGCTCATCCCGTGGGATCGATCCCGGGGGGAGCCACCATGGGAATGTCCCTGGGGGTGACGTCGTAGCCCCGGCCTGGGCGCCTGTGGGGGGCGAGAGGAGCAGCCCTGGCATTCCAGGACCTTCCCAGCCTCGACATTCCAGGACCTTCCCCGGCTTTCCGGGAAGTGCAGAGCCCGGGGGAAACAGGGTGGGAAAACCTGCTGGGGTCGGGAATGCTGGGGTCGGGAATGCTGGGGTCGGGAATGCTGGGGTCGGGAATGCTTACATTTTCCTCCTCCTGCAGCAGCAGCAGCAGGCCACTATCCCGGTGAGCAGGAGCGCTGGGAACCCTGTGGAAAAGGCAGGGATGAGGGCACGGCCCAGCTCCAAACAGCTCCACAGGGAGCCAGAGAAACCCTTGGACACAGTCCCAAGGTGCCCTCCCCACCCTGGCAGGGATAAAACTGGGAATTCTCCTTTCCCGGGAGAAGCTCCTTCCCACCTCAGTGACATTCCCATTGGAATAAAGCTCCCACAGCCCCGAGGGCTTTGGAGCTTAAAAACTATGGAAAATAGGCCCCTGCTTCCCAAAATAAGCTGATCTTACCAATGGAATAGGCCAAGGTCTGCGTGGAAGCTGGAAAAGAAGGGAGAAAGGGAGATGGGTGTTTTAGCTGGAAAAGCTGGAACAGTGGGAAGAGCATCATTGAGGAGTTGGGGGAGAGGGGGAGAAATCCCCTGGGAAAGGAAAAGGAGCTTTTCCTGGATGAAATCAGCCCGGGGGCGGGGGTGGGTGTATTCCCACGGGAAGATCCCAACCTGTGGCATGGTCCGAGGGGGCGCTGGGCAGGGGGGCTGTCCCCTCTCCCAGCGTGGATGTCTCCGTGGATGTCTCCGCTGCTGTCCCGTCAGCTCCGGCCTCTCCCGCCAGGGAAGGGCTGGAAGTGGGGCCGGTTCCTGCGGGGCAGAGGGTCAAAAATTCCGTTTAAATTCCCTTTCCAATTCCCAAAATGCAGTGCCAACACAGACACCCCAAATCCAGCAACCCCCCCAAAACTCCATGGGATTTCACTGATTCCGTTGGAATATTTTGCTTCCCACAGCGCACATCTGGGGGTCTGTGCCCCCCCCCAAATCCCAGAATTTGTGACTCCCCCGTTCCTCACCCCCGGGGGTGGTGCTGTCCCAGCGCGCCTCCCTCGGGACGGTGGGCAGGGGGGTCCGTGGAGGAGGAGCCGGATCTCCTGCGGGGAAACACCACGTGGAGACAAAAAGCAGGGAATGAGCCCTCCAGCCCCGGCTTGTTGGGATGGAAGAGGGGCAGCGGGGATCGCTCCCCAGAATTACCCATCGCTCATCCAAACTTTTAACCCTCTTTAGCAAATGGAGGAATTAGCGTCGATCACCATCAGTTCATTAATTACCATTCCACCCTCTGTCGGTCATTAATCCCCACTCTGATTCATTCTAATTAATTCACCCCCATTTCAGTCCTCTCATAATTTTTTTTTCCCCAGATAGATCTTTTTTCCATCGGTTTCTTTCCCCCCCCCTTCCTCGGGAATCCTTCAAGCCCCGAGCCAACTCCTCCCAGCCCTAAGCTTGGAATTCCTTTTCCCGCCCCCGCTCGTTATTCCAGGGGTTCACCCTCCTCCCGAAACGCTGAGCAGGGAATGCAGCCCCTGTCCCCGATCCCGCGTGGTGCTCACGGATGCACTGCAGCGTGGGGTGTGTCCAGGCGGGCCGGCCGGAGCCGTCCCTCAGGATGCACTGGATGAGGCTGGAAGTGCCGGCTTTCCTCTTGTAGCCCGGGTCGCAGGAGTAGCGCAGGAGCGAGTGCAGCCCCGTGCTGTTCCCGGCCTCGATGTGCGCGTTGGCCACGGCCTTGGGGCGGCTGCATCGCGCTGGAGAGGGATGGGAAACGCCTGGAATCGCAGCCGGGACGCCGGGAAACCGCCGGGAACGGCCCTGGGAGCGACCCGGGATAGCGGGAGGTCCCTGCCCGTGGCTGCAGCTGGACGGGCTCTGCGGCACCTCCCAACCCAAACTGCGCCGCGATTCCACGAAATCCTGGATGGGGCGCGGATACAGGGGTTGGATGCTAGTCCGGGGCTGGGAGAGCCTCATCCAGCCTCCGGAAACAATCCGGGATGGCTGTGCCTGTACGCAGGAATTAGAAAGGGAAAACTGTCCCTGGCATCCCTGTGGTCACCTGGAGCAGCTCCTCCAGGGATTGGGAAAGGGATTTCCAGCATTTCTGTGGTCACCTGGAGCAGCTCCTCCAGGGATTGGGAAAGGGAAAACTGAATTTCCATCATTTCTGTGGTCACCTGGAGCAGCTCCTCCAGGGAATGGGAAAGAGAAAACTGAACTTTTGGAATCTTTGTGGTCACTTAGAGCAGCTCCTCCATCCACCAAAGACTTTTTGTGGAATTCCATCCCCATTCCAGGACAGAGGCCTCGGCTCCATGCGGCCACTGGCTGCTGCATTTCACCGCCCCTGCTTCCTGCCTTCATTTTCCAGCTGGGCATGAAAAATTCCAGACGCTACACGAGTCCCCCAGCCTGTTCCCAGGGTTTCCCCCCC